ATCCATATTCAAAGTTTCCATTTCTTTTATTGCTTTTATTGCTGCACCCGGTCGATATAAATTGAGCACGTTCCATGTTCCAATATTCATATCTTTTTTCCTTTGCTTCTTTATAGCCCATACTTTCTTCACGAGGTGGGGTGGTTAGCTCCACGCTCAACCCTCTTCTTTTCTCAAAACGGGCTTGGGACGGTCTCCCGCAGAGCATTTGTGAGAAGACAATAAAATAAATTTATTTTGTTATGTGATTAAAAATACTACGACATATAACCAAACAATACTATTTTTATTCGAATTAATCTAAAAGTTCCATTTTTCGATCGGAAGCGCGGATCAAAAAGAAGCACTTTTCTTTACTGTTCATTTGTTTTGACAAATTGAACCTGTCACTGTCGTTATATTTTTTAAAGTATTTTCATTCAAAAGTAATCGATATGCTTTTTTAATGAATTTCGCAGGTTTATCGACAAATATTGATTATAATTTTAAGTTTACTTACAATTTATAAATTATAGCTTTGTTACAAGTTCAGTGTAAAAGTCGTTCAAATGGTCTGTTTTTCTGCGCTCGTCGATGTTCCCACAAGCAAAACACGATTTTTTTCAATAGCGCAACGTTCATGTAAAATATGCATCTTATACTTCTTATCATTCTCATTGTTTTAGCTGTATATGCTTACAAAAGTAAGCTTTTGAAAAATTACAAACGTTAAAACGTGATAATTTCAAAAATGGCATTGACAGAGACAAGTACAAACAAGACTTGTCTCTGGCATTGACATCAGATTTTAAATATGAAGTTGATTAATTCTGATTTATTATAACTTACGTTTCGTGTAATGTTTTTCATTCAAATAAAAATGTTGTGTTGCTTTTCGAAAAGCGACACTTTTCGCCCTTGTACCGAAAACTACTATTTAATTATTTTATTCAATTGAATTATTATAATTCAATTGAAGTCTGTCCTGACTGAATATTTACTACATGACTGCCCCCTGACTTGAAAGCTGGATCCGCTGTTGCTTTACAGGGATTTATGGGATTTTGCACCAACCTGAAGGTTTTACACAATGCAGATAATCGATAAGAATAAGGATCAGCCGTTAAATACATTTTATAAATTATGTAACTTGTTGGGTTCTGTTTGGCTCCTCTCCTCATTTTTACGTTCTAATTGGGGTTTCAAAAATTTAACCGCAGCTCACATTAGGCAGACATGAGAACAAACTAAATTATTGATATAATCTTACTGTTTAGACATCAAGTTATTTCAGGATTTTCGCAAAGGATATTGAAAAAATAATGCACTGCACGCTGCAAATTGTTTCAGCTATATTTATTAACTAGTCGAGGTTTTACTGTTTTATGGAATGTGCACAAACCATTTTTTTAAATTTAGACTACAATTTCATGGTAAAAGTGGAAAAATATTAGAGCAAATACTCGGATCAACTACCCTGCGATTTAGTCAATCTCGAAGAGAAGGGAAAACATTTGGAATCAATTACATCTGAAATATGTAACGTCCTGTTTTACTTATGTCCCTCTTATCCTTTAAAACGGTAAAATTTTTAAATTGTATTTAAGGGCTACAATAACAAATTTCATGCGGTTCAATATCGGATTACTTTTTGGAAGAGTCTGGATTTACAACATGCACATGAGAAAAGCTGAAGAATTTTGACATAGTTTTGAATTTCAGTATTAAAGCACTTTATTTACTAAACGTTCTGTTCAAGCAACAAATCGACCAAATCACATTCTTAATTCTTGAGGCTGATTTTGGCTTTTTTATACACAGATTCATGCTCTTTAGTTAATAGGTTTTGGTGACTAAAAGTATTTCTTCGAATATATCTCAAATTATTCTCTTCAAAGAAAGGAAATCCATTTCTAATATATCTCAAATACAAAGCAAGAAATATCCGAGCCCGCACAATTATAAACCATTAAAATTTACTAATGACTGAGTGTCAGTCAAAATGAACAGCTATAGGTCTAGTCAGTCACACCTGTCAATTTTAATTTAACAGAAGTGAGTATCAAACTGTGAACCATTTTGTAGCTTTTGTAAGAACTCCACACAGGATAACGGTACTAACTGTTGGAGAAATATGAACGTCTTTATGTCCATGTCTAAATCTAGTTTAAGTTTAAACCGAAAAGAAAAACAACATAAATCAGCATTTGTCTAGGTGGTCACTTGCCCGAACCTGGAACAAATTTTCTAACAAATGAATTCCAAAAGAATGTTTACAGAACAGTTGCGGCTGAAATTTGATGAAATATTTCCACCAAATGAAGACCGGGAATATGGGCATGTTATTTCAACGTTGTTATTGATCCTTATTAGGGCGTTAGGGGTGGCAGCCATTAATTTATGCTTTTTATGAATAAATAATCCTGATTCGGCAAATTCTGAAAATGTCTTTTTTGTGTTTTTGCCATATTTAGAACAGTCATGTCATGTCCAAAAAAGCTTTGTTTCAAAATATTGTTCACTACTTTGTTGCTACCTGTGGATGGTCTTAATTTGATAATTCGTTCAAAATTTTAAGTTGTCAGTCTTTCTTTTTTTTTTTCATCAACCGGCTATTATAATAACTTTGAACTTTAATTTTTGGCAAATATATTGCAGCTCTCTTAGTCGATTTCAGTTTCATGTAAAATTGCTGCATTTATGTATTAGACTTGAGAGAGAAATTGAAGATTATGATCTGGAAGACATCTAAGAGAGCTGCAATATTTTTTGGCAAATATATTGCAGCTCTCTTAGTCGATTTCAGTTTCATGTAAAATTGCTGCATTTATGTATTAGACTTGCGAGAGAAATTGAAGAGGATAATCTGGAAGACATGTGGGCAGGATAGGGCAACGAGTCACACAACACTGGCAGTTAGATCCCTTTTGCAAGAGAAATTTCCAGGACGCGTAATTTCGAGATTGAGTGATGTCAATTGGCCCGCAAGATCCTGCGACTTAACACCGTTAGATTTCTTTTTGTGGGGCTATGCGGAAGATCGTGTTTACACCAACAATCCTCAAACTCTTGAGCAACTGAAAGCCAATATCCGTGAAGTTATGACAGAGATATTACCGGTAATGTGCCGAAAAGTAATTGAAAATTACCTCAAAAGGATTGAGGAATGTAGGAGGTTCGGTGGAGGAAATTTAAATGTTTGTATATATTGTTTCTCACGTATAATGACAAGGTTTAATCTTAACAGAGTTTGACAATACCTTGAGTGTCTCAATATGAATTTACAATACAAATATTATACGAGATTTTATTGTAGAATAACGATATAAATGTTAGAAAAATATACATATTTCACAACTGTGAACATTTTTTTGACTGTCATTATGTTGTGAACAAATGCTGAATGAAATTAGCTACAAAACTAGTATTGCAATAAAAACTATTTATGATATTCCTATCCTTCCTGGGTTTCAGTCAAAGTGTGAAGTAAACATTTTTGAAGCATTGTTTATTTCATTACGTTTCGCCGAGACAACAGCGCCATCATCAGATTTCAAATTATACACAAACTACACCAATTCACAATTAAAATATGTTGTATAAAATTTATAAATTACAAAGTGTTAAAACATTTTTTGAGGGAAATTTTTTTTTTCTTCTGGGAGAGCAAAACAAAAAAAATCATCTCATGATTGGTAAAAATTAACGTCCCTTTAGGTCTTTGCCTTCTTGAAAAGCTTGAATTTGTCTGAATTATTTTCTACATTTGCGAGAATGCATTGAGATAAGCAGAAATAGTTTTAATTTTTCACTAGTGTACCGTTCCATACTTATGGCTTTATTAGGGTTTGGTAAATGTTGCTAAGGTTGTCGGTATCTGATCTGAAATTTACTGCTTTTGCATGTTTTTTTATTTGTATCATTTCTTGGTAATTTGTTTCCCTAATTAATATATCTGCGTTGTCAAAATCAAAATTATGTAACATTTGGTGTGCATGTTGTGTTAATGCTGTTTTGTTTTCACTAGTATTTCTCAGACTGTATTTCTGTTCGTACATTCCCTTTTTTAAATATTGTTTAGTTTGTCCTATATATGTATTATCACATTCTAAACAATTCACTCTATATACAGTATTTGCTATATATATTTTGTCAGTTTTTGGCTTTAGTTTTGGGAAACGTTCAGTTGATAAGTTGCTTTTTGTTTTTTCCGCAATTATAATGTTGTGTGGCTTTAGTACTTTTGAAATTTTCCTGTTGATTTCTGGAAAATATGGTAGTGATATATATGTATTGTTTCTTTGTTCCTCATTATTGTTATATTTAGTTGAGTTGTAAATTTTGTTAATTCTTCGTTTTATTATTGGTTCAGAAAAT